TTTTCGAATATCCCAATTTTCATAAGGCAATTTTTCATAACAAAGTTCCCAAATAAGCATTCCAAAGCTGATAATGAAAAATACAGATAGGGTAAATTACAATTCTAAAAGCTCTTAGAGATTAAAATAATAAATACCTGAACATTTCACAATTAAAAGTATATTTTGGTTCATTATATTTTTGATCCTTATATTTCATAATCAATTCAGGAGCCATCCAACGAATAATATCAGGAACTAAGTGAATAAGATTCCTGGTCTTCACATCAATCTTACGGGAATATTTAAAATTTCCAATTTTTGGATCCAAGTTTTGTAACACCTATTAATTTAATAAGTTTGTAAATCATTGATTCATTAACTATTATATGTTAAAAATATCATTTATTTTTATTATACATACAAAAATGTTCTCACATCTCATATCGTGGTGAAAAACGTTTGCAGATCGTAAAGATATAAGACCACGGCAAATATCTCTAATAATTTGCATTTTCCTGGTCCAAGGAATATCAAATTTATTGTAAAGTTCTTTTAAAGTTCCATATTCAGCCCAATCAAAAACCATAACATCATAACATTCAACATTTGAAAGACCGTAGAACCTGAGAACGTATCGTGATTGACCTAATATTCTAAGGATTTCCAATTGAATTTTAAATTCATCATTTTGCTCATCTCTAATGGGTTTACATGCAACATCTACACAATTTTGATAGAATTTCCTAAGAATAGGATAAGATTCTGAACCACGAAAACTTTGCCGCGTCTGACTAATAGGATGATCAAATAAATGACTTGGGTCGACTCTTTGTATGAATATTATCTGGTTGTCGGATTCTTAAAATGTTTAAGCCCTGGACTATGGAATCGAGTTTGTTATGAACATCTTTTTCAATACAATCAAGTTCTACGAGAGTCTTTAGGGAATTATTAACTTTTTCAGCTTCTAATATTCTTTGGCCTTCACCAGCAATAGCCATAGTAAAATTTAGTTCTTTCATGCATGTATCATATTCTTCAATTAATTTATCAAATTTTTTCTTAATTTCTGATGCATTAAGAAATCTTCTATAACCTTCAAGCTTTGACGCCTTAATAGTAAATTCTTTAATATTTTTTAAAACAATTTCAAACCTTTTAAAAGATAAATAATATTTTTGAAAATAGCACTCATTCTGGTTAAAAGCTAACATTTGAGCCATAGCACATTCTGCAACTATTACTCTATTAGACATGATTAAACAAATATCTTTATTACATTCTGCATCTTCGTAAATTTGTTTAATTTCTTCTACTAAAATTTTCACCATATTAATAAATGGAACATATGAAACTGCGATTTCGTCAGCATTAGTCGCAATACCACAAAGGTTAGAGACGTCATCGTAATTGGTCGTAATTAAGTACTTTTCAGTGAGCTTTGAATTATATAAGTGTTCTGGATGCTTTTGCGAAATAAGCGGTGATGTTTTGTTATTGGCAGCCAATACTTCATTTTTAATAAATGGAACATATGGAGTTGTGTTTTCGGCAGCAGTTAAAACTGCATTAGTCGCAGCACCATTAAGATCAGAGACGTCATCGTAATTAGTCTTGATTAAGTCCTCGTCAGGAATATTTAAGCTACATATTTGGTTACTGCAAACATTAATTGATAGTCTTTCAGTGATTTCTCGCGTGTTGATGAGCTTTGAAGTATGCATATGATCTGGGTGTCTTTCAGTGATTTCTCGCGTGTTGATGAACTTTGAAGTATACATGTGATCTGGGTGCTTTTGCGAAATAAGTGATGGTTTGGTAATCTTATCAGCGGCCAAGAATTCATTTTTTATTTCACTATTGTCATTTGAGTTTTGTAACATATTATGCCATTCCTTGAACTTCTCATAAACCTCATGAGCATCAGGTCGATTCTTTGGATTTGAATCCATGCATTTTTTTGCCAATTCAACATAGCACTTAGGAGTCCCAAAAGCAATATTTGGCCGCAATCCACGGAAAATATTTATTGCAAGATCCGCAGCAAATTCAATATCATCAAAAGGTGCCTGTCCAGTTGATATATCTGCCATGACAACACCCAAGCCATAAATGTCAGATGATCGTGTAACCTTTTTTCCGCTTAAAACTTCCGGATCAACATAGGGCATGACACCAAAAATTCCGCCCTCTGATGTATTTTCATTTTCATTTTTAGATAATCCTAGGTCTGAAACATAAGTATTTTCTTTATTCTGAAGAATGCTACCGCTATGAAAATCAGCATGAACATATCCTGCAGTGTGAATTCTGTATAAATCAAGTGAAATATCCATGAGTTGTTTTAATTTAAATTTCCATGTAAGTTCATGAAATTTTGATCGCAAAAAATTACGAAGATTTCCACCATCTGCATATTGAAATGCCATTAAAAATTTATGATTGCTTGCATCTCGAGTTAATCCATAAATTTGAAGTCCTCTACCAGCTAATATACATTTTAAGCAATTTTTAAACTTGTAAATTGATTAATATGAATGAATTAGTTTCATAAAATATCATATAAATAAGTATAAAATCGAGAACAATTAACATACTTCATTTAAAAAGTCAATAGAGTTTCCTTCAACAGTTGGTAACGTCTTGAGTGCAACTTTATATGGTTTTTCACGTGTCCTTATGTAATTGTATTCTATGCCATCAATTTTTCGTATACCATCTAACCAGATTGCTGAATATACCGAACCAAATCCACCTCTACCAATTTCTTTAACATCTGATAATCTATCAAATGGAATCCATTCAATCATGTATTCATACGCAGTGGTTTTAAGTTGAATTTCCTTAATGCAATTATCAATCTTAACATTTCCACTTGTCCATTCTTGGGTTGTAATGTCGGGGTCGCATGTCAGACACCATGCCTTATTAGTATTATATTCGTTGCAATGTTTACATTTTCCATAAACAGCATCTCTTTATGTTCATAAATAACATATTGATGTGTTTTCATATAATTAGTTACTTCGTATAGTTTATGCGAATTTAAGATTTTAATGTAACAATTTTTATATTTACCGACTAAATTGGATTTTTAATAGTAAGTATATCATAAATTCGCTGATTTAAAATATGTGAATTTATAAAATATTCTGTACTCACGCACTAAATTGACACGAATGAGATATAATTTAATTTTTTTTTTTTTTTTTTTTTTTCAAACCAAAAAAAAAGTTAATTATTTCGATACTTACGCACTAAATTAATATGATTAAAGTTG